AAAAAGAGTATCCCACAAGTATTCATAGTGGGCTGAGAGCAGTTTGATTTCCTAGTGTAAACAAAAGGCTATCAAGGTGAAGAATTAGCTGTGGTGGTGTCTGGGGCTGGAACAAGGGCTGAGCAAGTTTATTTGAGGTGTTTACATTTGCAGAGGACATTTAATCAACCACACAATGGCTGGTATCAATTTTCATATCTCAAACCTGCATTAAACTTTATTTTCTGGTGCATAGCTTCTGATGGACTGTTTTAATACTGATTACTTGTTATATGTGTTGAGACTATTCTTTGAAAAGTATAATTTATCATTATAAAGCTGTGTATACAAAGATTTGGACAGAAACTTGAGTGTATTTGATTTTGAGCTCATAAACCAAACCTTACAGCCTTATTGAAACAAAAACAGCCTGCATAGAGTATTTAAAATTATTATAGTTGATATATATTGCTAGCATTGCTGTGAAAACCTTCTGAGCATATATATATAACTGATTTGAGGTGAATGGAGTTGAGTTCAAGGCTGTAAAGACACGAATTTCCAGAAATACCTTTTGATAGCAGAATTCTACAGAAACTGATTTTGAGTAGTTTTTGGGGTTGTAATTGATATACTTGTTGATGTGCTTTGCCTCTAAGTTTTTGTGAGAAGATGAAATGGGTATGTGAGAGTATATTCCAGGCTTGAAATAGTTCAAAACACCCATTATACCCTTAGAGCAAAGGCATCATAGAAGCTTAAAATTAGACCCTGAACTAAGCTATTTTGCTACTGAAATTATACTACATTGCTGTATACCTGCTTGTGTATCTTGTATATTCATTTGAGCAGGCTCCAATCACTGTGTTGAAGCTATGGAGGTCATTGGTTGAAGGGTGTGTGGTGCATTCCAAGGCTGTAATTGATAAACCTTGAGATTTGTTGTTTTTACCCTTGTATCAAAGGTGAGCTTACAACCTGTGAATATCTTGCTATAAACATGGTTTTTTTTCTATTAAGCATGATTCTATAAGTGTAACAAGTCTGTGGAAGTGGAGTTTGGGATCCCATTGAAGCTATATTGCAGAGTTGCCCTTTGAAGCTACAAAGCTAGGATTTGTTGGGGTTTTTTGTTTAATCTGAGATTATAATGCTTACCTTGCTGTTTTAATTGATCCTATCAATCTAAGCAAATGTATTTAATCAAGTGAAGACTGAAGAAGTGAAGTTTAGGCTGCTATTGAGGCTGAATTATAGTTTCACCCTGGTGAGGCCAAAACTAGTGCTTTGTGGTTAACAAGGCTGTTATGTACCTTCATTGCTTTACCTTGCTGGTTTCACAGAGTCTATCTCTTAAGCAAGTGTATCTAAGCTATTGAGAGCTGTGGAAGACTGTTGTAGACCTTTCTAAAAGTTGCATTATGAAGTGACTATTATACCCTTGAATTTAGGGTTTTTGCCTAGTGTGTTCTACATTGTTCTACCTTAATTTTCTTATTGAGAACTCTATTCAAGCAAGTGTTATTAACTGAGACAAGGCTGTGGGAACCTAGCTTGAGCATCAAGTGAAGCTGCTTTGTGTTTTGACAGTTTTATCCTTTGATTGCAAAGAAGTGAAGACTAGGGTTTCACATTGTTCTACTTGAGGCTGTGTATTGCATTTCTTTATTGTTGTTGTAGCTGAAGTAGTATGTTCTTGATGTATTGACATCTAACTTCATTGGTGATTTAGCTACTAAGATCTTGTAAGTCCAAACACGGTTGCTTTGGACAGGGGGAGTGTATATGTGCTTATTGTTGATCTTATGTGTGTATAGAGGGAGTAAAAGTCAGTGTCCTAGCTAGTACAAGGTGTGTGGAAAGTGGGGTAGTTGGGTGAGTAACTACTTGCATACATTAATGTTGATGAAGAGCTAATGTGTGTGTATTGGTTGTGAACGCTAGTGTCTATTCTGGTACAAGTGTATTTGCAGAGAGTGAGACAGCAGAGTGTGTAACAAGATACATATAACTAGTGGATGCTTTTATTGGCTAAGGCCAAGAACTAAGGCTTTTCCCTATTGAAAGGGTTTCCTTCTATACCTTGTGTTTGTGTGCCTTGATTGGCTTCAGTGTTTATATCTTCTATGTTCATCATGTTTGCACTCAAGTGAAAAAGAAAGAAATTATCCTTAAACCAATTCAACCCCCCCTTCTTGGTCTAACAATTGGTATCAGAGCCTTGGTCTGCTAAACCAAGGCATTAACAAGCCTGCAGAAAAGTTCTTGGAAGCATAATGGAAGGTCTCTGTGTTGATGATGCTCTTTGGTTTGATGGTACTTTCTTTGAGGACTAGAAGATTAAAATGGAAGCCTATCTTTTGTCAAAATCATATGATGTTTGGTATACTACTATCAAGGGAGCAACTGTGTCAAATGAAGAAGCTTTATCAAATGATGCAAAGGGAAGATATGCACTTTTCAGTTATCTTAATTTCCAGGATCTTATTAAAGTTAAAGACTGCAAATCATCCAAGGATGTGTGGGACACTCTTGGGGCATTCTATGATCTCATTGAAGATTCTGAAGCATCTCAGACAGTTTGTATTCAAGGAGATGAAGTTGAGCAAAGGTCTTGTTTTGAATCTTTCAAGACTAATCTTTCAATTCCTTCTTCCTTTTCACTAATTATTTTTAGTACGGTAAAGGCTATGTCAAAGAAGAATGATGTCCACTCTAGGTCTGTGAGACCTGATATTGATAAGGGATTCCTCACTCTCTGCACTACTTCCTATACATTCAGACCAATAGATTTCTTGAGAAGTTATAGATTGTACAGAAATGTGTACTTGTGCTGCTTAATCTCTCTCAACTCAAGAAGAAAAAAACCCTTCAAGCATACTCACAGTGCTATTGGTATTCCACCTTTTCTCCCAAAGAATAATAGACCTTACTTCACAATCATTCCTTTGATTCATCCTAGATTACCCTCTGGTCCTGTTATAAACAGATTTGAAACGCATTGGTGTCTTGAATTCAAAGACAAGAAACACTTTCTCAAGCTCATAATGATGAAGTGCAATTTAAAGTTCCTTGAAGATAACATCTCTAGTTCTTTATCTGATTCTCAGCTCTTTATTTTTTATAATGTTACTGCTCAGCATTTATGGCTAAGAAGTTCTCTTGTTGAAAGCTTAAGACCACCTTTACTTAGAGACAAAGTGGTCCATTACTCTGATGAAGAAATGACTAAATTACTGCAGTGTAACCTCAAGTCCCTTAAAGCTAATAACACTGGTCTTCTCTCAGATTCTCAACTCTTCATTCACTCAAGTTTTACTGCTCAATATTTGTGGTTAAAGAGTCTCCTTGATATCTCAAAATGCATTATTATTGAAGGGTTAAGACCTCCTCCATTCAGAGATAAGGGTTCTCATTACACACAGGCTGAAATACATCTTTTTGATAATCTTCAACTGCTGAAAACAGGTTTTATCTCTCTTTCTTAGTACAGTGAATTTTTGGAATCCATATACTTATGACAGTTCATGTTTTATGTTGTAAGATTTGAATATGAGGTTATCATTCTAGAAACAAGTTTAATTCTGGTCAGAAAATGACTATGATAAGTTTCAAATTTTGTATCCCTCACTAGTTAGGGTTTACAAATATTTAAGGTCTATGGTTTGAAGAGAAAATGGTTTCTCATGCTACTGCTACTGAGATTGTCACTTGAGAATCTTACTTTGCCCTGGTTCTGCCAAGTTAAGCGCATTCCTCTCATCACCTGAGCATGTTCATCTTACTAATTGTCTACTGAAACAGTTGATCATTGTTTAAAAAATGGTATTGATTTCAGTTTTGATCTCTTGAACCAAATTATCTAGTGCTTGCAGCAAAACTATGTTCTTGCTGAGTGTTTAACTTCTTTATTCATGCTTCTCTATGCCTAATTCTCTTCTAAGAATGAGTTCTCAGCTGATATTGGAGTAAGATAACAAAACTATGTGACAATGCTGTTAAGAATTCTCATTATTGCCCCTTAAAGAGTAAAATGTCTGCATAATCTATGTTGAGGTCTAATTCAAACAATTTTCCACTGTTGTGCATTGATTGTTGGTGATCTAGCTTATGAGGTTTGCTGAATCATGTCCATTAACTTCTCTTTGCTGGTATTCCCTCTTGAGCATGTGTTATTTGAAGATGGACAATTTACGCCTCTTGAAGTTGAAGTAATTCTCATGTGTTGATTTGAACTCTGTGTATGCCATTGAAAAGCCTGGTTTGAAACCTCTCTCAGAATTGCATGTTGAAGTTCAAGTCTGAAGTCTCACTCCAAGAAAAACAGTTTTTTACCACGCTTTTTTTACCACGATTTTAAAAAAACCATGGTAGAAGACCATTTCTACCACTGTTTAAAAATAACCGTGGTAGAAAGTATATTTTTTACCACAGTTATTTTAAAACTGTGGTAGAAAGTTTTCTACCACGGTTAATCAAAAACCGTGGTAGAAAGTATATTCTTTTACCACGGTTTTAAAATAGCCGTAGTAAAAAGTATATTATTTTATCACGGTTATTTTTATAACCGTAGTAGAAAGTAAATTATTTTTAATGTAATTTAGGCGGGTCTTTCTACCACAGTTATTTTAACACCGTGTAGAAAGTATATTATTTTACCACGGTTTTAAAATAACCGTGGTAGCAAGTATATTCTTTTACCATTGTTATAAAATAACCGTAGTAGAAAGTGAATTATTTTTAATATAATTTAGGCGGGTCTTTCTACCACGGTTGTAAATTAACCGTTATAAAATTTTTAATGTAATTTAGGTGGTCTTTTTACCACAATTGTTTTAAAAACATAGTAGAAATTGAATTTATTTCACCCCCACTGTTTCCACCCCTCTTCTACCACGGTTAATAGAAAACCATGGTAGTAACCTCCACCATGGTAGAAAGTGAATTTAGTTTCACCAGCGAAAAAATTTAAAAATATATATAAAAATACAAAAATATATTTACTCACATGTACAGTCCACACACACACACACAATATTTTAGGGCATATTTTAGGGCAAATCATTTCAGCCTCCCCAATCGCCTCCATCTCTATTCTCGTTCTCAACTCGGCCCTCTCTCTGTCTCTGCAACTGCAAAGTACAAGATCTACAAGAATCAGAACCAATATTGGCATATTAGATATGATTTTGAATAACGACGACGATGATGATTTTGAATCACCCACAATGGGTCCGGACCCACAAATTCCAGATCCACCGCAGACCCTCAAGCGTCTCCGGCGAGGTCGCACCACCGAATCCACATCGGCCACCCAGAAGCGGGAGTTGTGGCGTAGTGTCGATGAAGAGATTGAAGAGTTCTCTTCGCAGGAGGATAAGCTTGAAGGTAAGACTAGTGACTTGTCTAATCTTTGAATGCTGTTTCTCTTTTGTTCTTGAATGTTATTGCTCGTTTGGTTGCTGGGAAAATGTGGAAAAGAAAATGAATTGAAAATTCGCATTTTAGGGTTTCATTCATTTGGTACCCAAGTATGTAAAAGGTAATTAATTCATTAACCCATTAGTTTTTCTTTGCTCAACAAGTGCTGCTGAAGCCTTTATTGCATTTTAGTTGGGTTCCTCCCTACAGTCGTGTATATATATATATATATATATATATATATATATATATATATATATATATTGTATGCTTTCAAGGATTAATACCGTAAGTATTTTGAGGAAAACAAAAAGGGATTTTTGCAATAAAAGGTTTTTTTGTGCTTTAACACCTTTTTTTTTTGGTATCATGAAAATGAAAATTTTGAATCAATATGTTTTCCCATGAATATGGGAATTTTTTTTCTTCATATATATACTTTTGGGGGTTTTGGGTTTTGGTTTCTTTCATACTTTGGAGACGCTTAAAAACTTTGACTATGAGTAGCTCTGCATTTTTTGTAAGTGTCATTTTTTATACTTTTATTATTGGAATATTATGTTTTGTATCAATTTATTTGAGATGAATGGTTCTAGATTTATATTGTTTTGGGAATTTATTTTATTATTAATTAGCAGACCCCAAATAGTTGTAAAAAGAATTTGTTGAGTTGGTGTATGATTATTAGTAAATATGAAAGAATGGCAAAAATCCATTAGACATCCTTAACCCGTTGGGATTGATGATGCATGACTGTGTGGTAAATATCAATCCAAATCCAAATAAATTTGTTCAGTTAAACGAGATAGAATTGAACTTATGGCAGAATTGGGAAAAAGACTTCATTTAACTGGTCCAAAATAGTTGGGACAAGCCTTTATTGGGTTGAGTCGAGGCAGGACCTAGAACTGTCCCTACAGAACTTTGTGATTTTTAGATTTGGTTTAATACATAAACTGAATTTCACAAGCTATTCTTAGTTCTTACTGCTTCAGTTTTGTACCAGACACTGCCACTTTCATCATGATCTAGTTTTATTTAAATTTGAGAAAAAAACATTTAAACCTTCTGACATTGAATTTATAAGTAAAGTTCATTTTGCAAGAAAATACTTTATAAGCTGTCATTTTTGGTATTTTTTAAGGCAGAGACCTTAACTTTTTCAGCAGATGACCAGTTTTGAACATTTTTTTAGTATAATGTTTGATTTGAATTCTGGAGATTTAATATTCATATATCATTATGAGTCTAGTTTTTATAATGGTACGTTAGGTCGGATTTTGTTGAGTTCTCTAAATTATTTGATATATAGGTGTGTGCTCTCAAAAACAGAAAAGTAAAAAACTCTGAAACTCACACAAAAAGACTCTATAGGTTTTTGAAATCTTCAACGCAAAAACCGTGATTAATTGTATGCAACTGTAAGTTTATATAGAGAATTAGAGAGTCCTATTAGGGTTAGAAAATACCTTGAATTTCGTGCTAAAACCTCTCTAATTCAAACTTAAAAGGTAATAGAAGTTGGTAAAAATAAAAACTTTACTTTTTGGTTCAGGGAAGTGCAACGAGTTCTATTTAAAATGCAAATGGTTCTATTTTTCCCGAGTGCTGTTTTTGTGCAGAAAATAGAACCGGTTCAAATTATAAAATGATATTACTATGCTTGGAAAGGGGCAATAGTGCAACACCCAAGGAATCATCATTTTAATTAAGAAGTTTCATGATTTAGCACTTTCAATAAGTTTTTTGTGATAACTGTTAGTCGTTCTCTACTGGGAGGAGTCTTACCCTTTAATATTTTCAGGTAATGACACCCGAGTTGGTGGAAGTGCTGATGCTAAGTGAAGAACATGAACTCTGTGAATGGAATTGTTTTTGGGTGGAATATGTTTTGTGTTCATGCTTGAAGGTGTTAGCTTGTTATATAGTTTTGCCTTGGCTTGTCATATATGTAAATATTTATGAAGCATAACATTTTGTGAAGTGCAAAACTTATCTCTTTGTTCTATCATTACTGTCTCTCTTTTGTATTTTACGGACTTACCTTACCTCTTTCCTGATGGAGGCCCACCCTTTTCCCTTATTTCATGGATATAAAAACAAAAATTAGATGATTAGTAATATAAAAACTAAAAAGTGTAAAACACTAAGCCACAAAGCATAATTATTCATTAAAATATGATCCACAACAGTGGTGTTGAAACTCTTTCAGCTCAAAGCTTTCCCAATTACAATTCAATCCAAACCAGTGGTGTTGAAAGGGCTTCTCAGTCCATGGATTCTCTGTGGACTTCTCACATGATCATGCAAAGATGTTTTAATGATGTTTTGTGATCTTGATTTTGTGTGTATTTGTTTATAATATCCCTTATTTTTTAGTTTTTTCATTTAACTATCTCCACTTAGGGTGTATTTTGGTGTTATATTTTCTTTAATTGATTTGCATGTACGTGAAATGTAGTCTTCCAAAGTGACTGGGAAAAGAAAACAACAGGAGTGTCGATTGCATGGCCTATCAAGTACATCAAAATTTGTAAGTTATATGGTCTTCATGTTCGATAAAATTCTTTTATGATTGGAAATTTTTAATGCTTTTTATACTCATACTCAGGGGGGTCACATGCCTTTAAGTGACCAATTTTGTAGTGTATCTTGAACTTTATTACCTTAGTGGTACATCGGCCCGTGTGGAGGTCATTTTTATTTCTTGTTTTAAAATGTTGAAAGCATGGGAGTATGGGATCATCGTATGTGGAGGTTTTGATTGATTGTTGTGGAGGAGAAGTTGTTGATATGTTGTTTAAGGAGTTAATGCAAGTTGGCAACTTAATTTTTTTTTATGTATTAGTTGTTATTCATATTATTTGCATATGATTGAGATTTTTCTTAGTTTATTTTTGTTGATTTGTTAGAAAGGTGCAAAGAAGGGTTTAGGAGATACGAAAATAGAGAAAGAGAGCGTGTTATTAACTAAAAAACCAATAATGGCTCATCTATGGATATTAACAAACATAAAACCTGAAGCTATAACTAAAAACATACAACCTGAAGCTATAACTAAAAAACCAGATTTGAACATATCATATGATGGTAATTCACTTTGTCTTTAAGTACTCCTATTTCCATTGATTAGAAGGAATTTGAGGCCAAGAAGTTCTCTGCGTGAGTGGTTGAAACTTGAAATAGGGTTGTGTACTTTCAATCACCTCACTACAAGAAATTAGGGCTTTAGTGACAGTCAAACACTGTCACTAAAAGTCCAAAAACCGTCCCTAATGGTCGAATCTGTCTCTCACTAATTAAAGCGTCAATAAATTTTTTTTTTTTTTTTTTTTAGTTCTTTTTGCGCTCTGCTAGTTGTGTATTTTTTCAACTTTTTATAAGAAAATAGAAATCCAAATATTCAACATAAGACAAGATTGAAAAAAATCATTATCATGATAAAATGTTTACAACACATTATTAGCCAGATATTCAACAAAACATACCAACTCAAATAAACCATTAGAGTAGCTTGTGAAGACTTTTCTACCATTTCATCCTGCAAATCAGATAAAATTTCTCTTAGAATTGTGATAAAAGTGATGACCAAAACTACTAATCATGTATTAACCTACCAACTAAATAACACTACAATCATGATGAAGAGCTAAATTGAAACATATATGTAAAGGCTAAACTGATTACATTAAGGAAATCAGGGCTAAAAGGACTAAAACACAAAACAACCCAGGAATGACCAATATGACCATTAGAATTCTCTTTGAATATAATCAACTTCTTCACTTCCACCTTCAGTCATGTACAGGCCCAATCCAAACTAGAAATGTGGAAAGGAATTGAACAAAGAAAGCACAACAATAACATACGTCCGTAGCTCCAATATACTTAACAAGTTCAGGGTCCCTGCATAATGTAATAACAAACAAGGAATTATCTGTAGGAGGTAATTAATAGGTACCAGAAATAACACTTGGGGCTCAATCAAATAAAGTGTGTTCAAGATAAGGAGAACCAACTGTTTACATACACTGTCATTTTATTTTTACTTCTGACACAAACACAGAAATTGTGCTGATAATAATCTTGCAAATTACGAAAAATCAATATGGAAGAGCTGCCTTGAAAAATTACAACTCAATTACAAATTATTAATTTTCTCCCTTCTATTGTTAGGCCTTTTGCAATTATTCACAATGAAATTGCCGATCTATAGCAATATCATCTATACTAATTGACTTAATTAGTAAAAGGTTGAAGAACTGTTACACGTGATTTTTAAAAAATGTCCTTAAACACAGAAACTTATAAAGCAACCTATTAACTTAAGTCTCCTGAAGTAAAGAACCAATTCTCACACAATTAAAAATAATAAACTTTAAGAATCACAATTCTCAAAAGGTGAGGATAATAACCATTCTAGAACAGAACAAATCAGATTTCATCCTTTAAAAAAAAAAAAACTGTGTTTCCAAAATATGGTTTTAGAAAATAATAAATCAAATAAATTTTTGTAAAGGTTTTTTTTTTTTTTTTTTTTTTTTTGAATTTAATTTTATTTTATTTTTTCAGATTTTTGAAAATAAAATGTTGTTGCCAAAAAGATGTCAACGAAAAAAAAATCCCAACCTCCCAGATTAATTTCAACCGTGAAACTAGAAAGGGTAAAAAAGAAAACATAAATTGGTTCTTGATCGATATATATAGGGAGAGAAATACCTGGAGCAATTCCATCTGATGTGGAATACAAGAGAGTGAGAGTAAGGTATTAGGGCTTCAACTGGAAACAAAGAGATTGAATCGAACCGAATGATCTGATGTGGAATACCAAATGTTTAGTGAGTGAGATATAAGGCCATCGGCATCGGTATGGTCATCGTCTTCAGACTTCAGAGAAGAGAGGGGGGCGGAAGGAGAAAGCTAGGGCACCGAGAGAGAGAACAAAGTGAGAGATGTAGAGGGTTGTCAGTGGGTTATGATCTATATATACAAATGGGCCAAAACTACATCATTTTTTAATAGAGAATTATTGACAGTCCATTTAGCGTCCCTAAAGCCCATTTTATATTTAATTTTTATTAAAAAAAAAAATCCCATTTCAATAAGGTACTGGCGCTAAATTTTCTCGCAATCAATTTTGGCATTGGAATTTGAGTTTTTGCTTTTAGGGGCGGTAAAACAATGACCGTGCCTAAAAAGGGTATATTTAGTGACAGTTTTTTGTATTGCCCCTAAAGGACTGTCACAAATACCCATAATTCTTGTGGTGCCTATTAAATAAGCCATGCGTAAGCTTTAATACTGAGATTATTTCCTTGACACACTGAACTTGCTTTGCTTGAGTTAAGACCATGTTAATACTTGCTTTGGGATTATTTCCTTGACATAATGAACTTGCTTTGCTTGAGTTAAGACTATGTTAATACTTGCTTTGCTTGAGTTAATACGAAGAGTAGATCTTTCAAAGTATCTTTATTATAAAGCTTGGTTTGCTTGGTTTAATTTTGGCAACTTTACAACTTGCTTTACATTAATTCTCTTACTTCAACTATCTTTGTAGGTCAAAGCTAGGATTGCGATTTGCGGTTGCGGTTGCGGTTGCGGTTGCCGTTACCGTTACTTTTTTTGTTGCCGCTATATTTTTTGTATGGCTCATGAAGAAGTTGCAAGAAGATATGAAATTTTTTTGTTTTATTTTGGTTAAGTAAATGTATAAGGTATGGATCATGTACTTCTTTCAAATTTGTATATGGTTAATTTTTGTATAAAACAATGATTTTGAATTGGTTATATATATGATTTTATTGGTCAGTTGTAAATTATTTTGGTTATGATGCTATTTTTTATTTTATTTAGGGTTTGCTTCTGGTGAAGCTGTAAGGCTAGTAGTAGGAAGAAAAAAAAGAGACTTCATAAGGGCTAAACTATTTAAAAAAAAAAAAAAAATTATATAACACTTTCTATCACGGTTATATACCGTGGTAAAAAGTCTATTTTTCTACCGCGGTAGAAAATAGACTTTCTATCACGGTTTTGCACCGTGGTGGAAAGAACTACTTTCTACCACGGTGCGGAATCGTGGTTGAAAATAGACTTTCTACCACAGTTTCTGTGCTCGGCTTTCTACCACGACGATTTCTACCACGGTTCAAAACCGTGGTAGAAAGCTTTTTCCACCGTGGTACAAAGTCATTTTTCTTATAGTATCTTTATCTACTCTTCATTTTGCCCTTAACCCTTTTGACTTCAATGTCAAAAAAGGGGAGAATTCTTGGGGTTTTGACATTAAAGACAAAATGGGGAGATTGTTGGTTGAGGTTTACCTTTTTAATGTCAAATGGAAGTCAAACGTGTTCATAGCTATTCTCTCTATATTGGTATCACACGGGTATTTTAGTCACAAGGGTATTTCAGTCATTATACTCGTGTGCGTGTATGTGTTTTACTCCTCCCATATGCTGAAATTTACCACAGAGTTTATATTCAAGTACTTACACACATAAATAAGTGCTGCAGCAAAAACAGCCTTGATGTGAGGGCATTTCTGGTACTTCATTGTTAATTCTGGTGTAATAATGGACTCATAACATAGTGCCACGTGCACTGTGGTCCTAGTGAGAGAGGCTAATGAAAGAAATGTAATTCTTTAGCTGTATATATCAGCATTGTATAATGACTAATGAGGGCTGCAGAAAAGGTGTTTTTTAGTGTCTAGCCAGGGCTGTACAAAGGGCATCTTGGTCCATTCACAGTATGCTAGGTCAGAATATTTCCTTATCTATAATTGGCCAATGATGGAATATACTTATCCACACTAGGGCAGCAGTGTAGGAGTATAAGTATGCTGTTATAGCAGCTGCAGAAAAGTGTGCACAGAAATAGGCCATTTGAGCTACATTTTCAGCTGTACATACCCTCTTGCATATAGCTGAAAATGTAGCTCAAATGGCCTATTTCTGTGCACACTTTTCTGCAGCTGCTATAACAGCATACTTATACTCCTATATATGTATATATATGCAATTATGGTGTGTGCTTATGTACAAAAAAGAAAAGAAAGAAAGAAAAAAAAAAAAAGAAAGAAAGAAAAGTGCTGGGACCTGCAGGACATTATAACAAATATAATGGCTTTATAGCCATTATCCTCAGCAATCTCACTCTTTCTCACAACCTGTTCTCTCTCTCCCAATGATATTTCTTTTCTTTTTCTTTTGCAACTTCAACCTTTGATTCCTTCCAAAATTGTTGGAACTTTTGGGTGCCGTTTGCGGCAAAACGAAGTGCGCGGCGAGATTTTCATATAGATATAAGCAATTTCAGTTTTGGTGCCTCCTTGAATTTTCGAATCTAGGGCTTGGGAATTAGGGGTTTTCTCCTCCTTTGAGGTAGGAGTGTTTAATTCACGTTTTCTTGAAATTTTGTGAATTATTTTGTGTATATTGTGTTTTAGCATGCCTATTTTGGATGAATTCTTGTAATAATTGTTTAAATGATATATATGCAAATGTGATAGTATGTGTTGATGGAAGTTTTATGAGAAAACATGCTTATATGAAAACAATGTATGCATGATCTGCTTGTTGTGCTTATATTATTGCTAAATGAGAGCATTATATTTTGAAATTTTATGTGTCATATGCTATGTAGTTTTGAATGGAATTAAATGTGTAGTCATGAGTATTGACATGAAATGATGTATTTATGCACCTCATTGGGAAGAAATAGGGAATGATGTTTTGAAAAAAAAAAAAAATGAAATGGGGTTTTTGGGAAGAAGTTTTCGAATACGGTTTTATGAAAAACCCGGTCGCCTAGGGGTTACCGAAGGACCGTGGTGTTAGTGAGGCCTAGAGGGGACTAGGGAAATTCTCCTTAGTGTGGTTGACCTAGTTGGGCCCCCAATGACTCCACGGAGTTACCATGGGTCAGGGACAGTAGCCAATCCTCCTCTCGTGTCGCCAGAGGGTCACCGTGGGATGGGTTTCACTAACGGTTTGGAAATGATGACGAATATAGTTTTGGAAAATGGGGAGAGACATAGCACGACATGGCATGTCATGGCATCTTCCTTCATGACTTGGGTTATTGGTGTGATTATGTGGTTATTTTCCCGACATAGCATGATCCCGATTCTTTTTTTGCTATTCATGGTGTGGATTTACGGGTTTCAAGAGGTGCGCCTTAAGCACTACCTACTGAGCAATTTGCTCATCCCTTATATTAATATTTTTTTTCAAGACACAGGAAAGAAGTGGCGAATGACGTTCCACCACATGCCTAATTTGGATTAGAAGATCATTTTGCTATTTTTGTATCTTAGTCTCATCATGTTTTTGTAAAACCTTAGTTTGTTATATCCGGTATAAAGACTTATGAACTCTTGTTATTGTAATTATATTCATGGGCTGTAACTTTAATATAAGTTGTCTGAACATTGTAAGACATGGACTTTTAATCTTAACCATATATTTTTAGGACTGTAATTACGATATTTGGATTAAATGGTATGTGGTTGTTCCACCATGAGATGAACTATGTTGAGGCATAATGAATGGAAGAAAGGGATACTGGAATGTATTATTTGTATTGTGTGTTGGGACATGTTGGATAAGTCTTGAAGGGCCAAGAGAGGCCATTGCATATATATATATATATATATATATATATATATATATATATATATATTTTCATTTAAGCAGGTTGTCGTAGGACCCTTTTTAATAGAGGTCATGCCGAATTTTTTTTTTTTTTTTTTTTTTTTTTTTTTTTTTTTTTCTATAGTTGGTATTATTTTAGAGTCATTACAAATTTGGTATCAGAGCCATGGTTCGAAAATCATTAGGACGACGGGTAGAGGCCTACCTAGGATTATTTAGGGAGTCGTTTACATTAGGGATGGCAATGGGGCGGAGTTGTGATAGAGTTAACTAAACCTTACTCCGCCCCGTTAAAAAATTAGTCATACCAACTCTGATCCAATTCCGGGACGGGTTTATAATTGGTATACCATCCCCGCCCCAACTTTGGTAGACAAAATACCGACTTCGCCCCGCATACTCCGTTTAATTGCAGTAAAGTTGAAACTGTTGAATTAATTCTTGGACTTAGGATAGAATACTAAGATCTTGAATCCTTGATTGATTCTTGAAGATTGAATCACGTGCACAATTGTGGAATTTTAATAAGTAGTGATTCTAGTGAATATTTAGTCAAAATATATTAATGGACACTTAATTTATATATATATATATATATATATATATATATATATATATATATAATCGGGGGTGGGTTGGGGGCATCACTAAATCCGCCCCCGCCCCAAACCCATTTATGGAGCTACCAAATTCGTCCCATCAGAAGCGGAGTGGGGCGGAAACCCAGCGGGTTGGAGGAAATTGCCATCCCTAGTTTACATTGCTATGCGACTATTTGTTAAAGTGTTTTGCTATGTGAAAAAACATGCTTAACTGTTTACTTGCTTACGTGCTTATATGCTTATATGCTTATATTAATGTGTTCATTGCATAGTCTTGCATGCTAAGTGTTTGTGCGGTATCCTTTTGTGTTGAGTTGTTCACGGTTGGACCTTAGTGTTATCATTATTGAACCGTTTTCTTGTTTTATAGCACGATGCCATCGCGAAAGGAACCAAGGGGAGTTGGCCCTAGGCCAACAAGAGGCGATGTTGGTGAAAGTTCTAGCTCTAATCCAGCGGAACAGGTTGAAGAGGATACACTTCTTAGGGACTTGATTTCCCCGAGAGGTGTCTTCACACTAAGGGACAATGTTGAAGCACCCATTGAAGCGGGTGAAGGCTCAGCTGAGCTGGCACTGAACCGTTTGCTATAGAGTGCCTTGAGGGCTACAATTGCTACTCTTCCGCAACTGGTACCGCAACCGGTAGTTCAGGTAGAGGAGACACCAGCACAGAATTGTCTCAAGATTATTACAAGGTTTTCTAAGTTGATGCCAGTGATGTTTGAGGGTGGTGCAGATCCAATGGCAGCGGACGACTACATAGATCAAGTAGAAACCCATTTGACTTCTATGGATGTGACGGATGATCACTTGAAAATCATCTTAGCCACTTACAAGTTTTCAAATGATGCTAAGCTTTAGTGGAAGTCAGTCACTAATTAGCACAAGATAGAAAAGATGAGTTGGGAGATGTTCAAAGAGCTATTTTATGAGAAGTATTTTCTAGTTACCAAGAGGTGGGAGCTAAGGGAACAATTTAATGGCCTTATCCAAGGTAATATGTCAGTGACGGAATACGAGAACAAGTTCATTTCTCTTTCTTGCTTTGCTCCTGAGTTAGTGAGAAATGAGGTTGATAAGACTCGAAAGTTTGTTTCCGGTCTTGATTACAAAATGAGGCCGTTGATAACGGCATAGTACATCAAAGTTTATTCGGAGGCAGTGGAAAGAGCATTGATGCTTGAGGCGGAAGCTAAGGACAGAAATGCAGGAAAAGAATAGTGGAAACAAAAGAGGAATGCAGGACCATCTTCGGAGGGGCAGTCATGGAAGAGGAACAGGTGTAGTTCATCTCAGATTCAGGGGCAGCAGTTTGCACGATCCGCTCCTACTACTCCTACGCTAGCTGGGTTTGATAAGAGTGGAGTTGTTTGTTGATAAGCGCTGAAAAGTGCGTATTTAAACCCCTTCAGCGAGGGTATTTTAGTCCATCCATCTATCTTTATTTACCCATTTTAGTACTTATTTGTGTTTTTGTCTATTTCTGGTCAACAATGTTAAAATGGGCTAAAAATGGCTTTTTACAACCTTTTTGGAGTCAAACTAAGCCTTAGTGAGAATT